AGAGTCCATTTAGTATTTCTCTCAGTTACGTTCCCCGAGTTGTCAGAGATAGTTGGAAAAGAGTGGGCACACCTAAAAATTTAGTTACAGTGCTTTTACGCTTAAAAACCGCTTTTGACCTTGGGTCGATACGACCCCCCCTTACCTACCCCCCCCCCCCTTGCGACCCCCCACCCCTGCGGCGTGCCGCACCCCCCGCTTTACCCTGGTCATCATCGACTTTGCGATGGTGGTCGCTATCAAAGACGCCGGGCATACAACAAAAATGCAGCGCTGGCCGGCGTTGAATTATGGCCGCGCGCATTCAATTCCAGTCGCTCACCTGGTCGACCAAATTGGCTCAAGTGGTTCCTTTTTCAAGAGCACACATGATTATCACGATTGGAAAGCGATCCGCATCCAGATCAATAGCTCACTGGATGCTAGACTGAGGCGTGATGAGATCAACTCCGGTCCACGTCGAGACTGATGCCCTGATGGGGGGGGTTTACCGCGGTCCATTTACTGGAGTAAATTACTCGTAAGAATTACTCGCATAATCATGAAAAGAACTAGGATAGTGCATTGCTACTTTTCCATCCTTTGAGTTTTCAAAGCAGTGAAAATGCGGCTTTATCCTCCTTTTTTCTCGCATGCATTCTATTATATTTGGTTGGTGCAGTTCTGTCTCACCTTTTTTGAAAAATCATAACTTGTTGTCTCGACGGATTAGCGCAAATTTAGTTTTGAAATCATTTTCCTCAATAAAATCTCCAAGGCTCTTTGATAGATGAAAGCTTTTGAAAGGAGACAAAAGAATAAAATCACTTCAGGTTTGGTTATTTTCAAAGACGAATTCAGCTCTAATCATTCTTCAAAATTAGGAGATTTTTGGCTATCGAACCGTAAATGTTTTGTTCGCTAAAATTCTCCTCGGAGGTAAGTTAACGGGGTGTGGCACAATCCCAGAAAAGCCGTGGCTGCCACACCTTTTGGACCTCGGGCAAAGTTCATGCGATTTGATCGTCGCGATTGATCCAAGACAACTTTAATTTTCCAACACGACTAATCGTGACTAATTGTTAAGAATAAATGTATTATAAATATATTTATATTTAAATATGTTCTTTAGCTTAAACTCGTAATCTTCACGATAGTGATTCGAGTCTGATTGGTCTTCTCCAGTCTGAGATACTGAAAGCGAAAAATGAAACCAATGAGATTTTGGCTTGTTCCTTATTCCATAGTTTGGAGGTTATTTGAAGTGAAATTCCTAATATGTGCAAAGAAGTAGTAGGTTTTTGTATTAATTGCAAGAAGAAGTGGCTAATTCACCTTGAAAAGAAGTTAACATGTTCGAAAATAATATTTGGAAACCTTAGAATTCGCAAAAATTTGGCCCATAGGCCTACGATGGTAGGCCAGAATGAAGTGCTTAATGAGCCTATCCTGACATTTCTAGCAGATATCGTGTTATCGCTGACATCAGTATCTCTTTGATATAATCACCCCTGAACCCTTTTCTGACCTTCACAAAACGACCCCCAAGGTGTGGCGTGCCACACCTACGCTTGACTCTGGTTGTTACCTATTGCACCGCCTTTCCCACGCTTAAGGTTGGAAAGTGATCAAAAAGCAAGCCTATGAAAGAGTTGAAAAGCCCAGGCCAGAGAGTCGCGCGGGACCCGGACCCTATCTACAACCCGTCGCTCCCAATGGAACAGAGAACACATATCGCCCTACTCCACATTTGCTTGTCCGGCTCTTCGTCAACCACGCATAACTAACAGCTGTGTGCAACATGCAACAGCTTGCTGATCCAAGGATAAGACGACAACTTGTTGTATTGCATCATCAACATGCTAGCCGCGTGTCACAAGCCAGTGACGCGGAGCAGGGGCATCAGCATTTGCGGAGTGGACGAATGCAACCATAACACAAATGCAGTCGTCGTATTGGATAGACATGAATAACGGCTTGTCTTCAACGTTTCCAAAAAATGAAGGCTGAAAAAACGGCAGAATTATTTTAGAATTTATAGAATTTATAGAAAAACGGCAGAATGATAGAGAATTATTTTCGAAAGAATCATGTAAAAAGATTTGAAAACTTATGTGAAGTTAATACCTTTCTCAGATGTAGTCCTTCCAAACGGCCTGCAAACGATCTGAGATCGGCTGGAACATTTATTTTTGTAGCTTCACGTAAGTTTTGGATTTTTCTACCATGGACGAATTCCCCGCTCAAGATGTCCCTGAGCATGAAAACATTTTCATATCGTTGCCTTTCCCTTCTTTTTTTGCATTAATCTCTTCATAGATCGTTTCCTAAACATCGCGCTCTAATGACAAGCTTTTGGGCATGCGTAGGAATTCATCTCAACTTTGATTCCACTCTTATTTCATGTTTTTCATTCTAGCCTAATGACTATTTTTATTTTTATCTCCACCTAAGTCGATAGGTTACCAATAGGGGTCAAAGGGGACTTCGTAAAATTCTCGAAAGTCAGGGTGGGGGGGGGGGGGGGGGAACTAGTGCTGGGCCCTGACTGAAACCCATGATTTTACATGTATCAACAAATCCACAGCAATATACACGTTTTGACTCAAATTAGTATGCTTTTACGCAGGCAAGCTAATCCTGGTTCAAACCCTGCTTACGCCACGGACGCCGACATACTTTAAAGGGAAGAACCAAAGATGATTCATAATAACAGATCTCATTCGCCCGTAAATGTCAGCCGGTTTGTGCAGTGCATTCTTTTTCTCTCTTCTCGTTCTTCATTCCCGCTCTTTACAATTTCGTCCGCCCATGAAGATAATTCCCGGTTGTTTTGCGCGCAAAATTTGATTTTTAACTCTCCTCTAACCTTGCTATGTGTTCTCCTTCGTCAGTCCTTCTCTTTTAGAAAAGGCGACTATCGTTTACTGGAAACAAACTTGTATACTGAATACACATCCGATTAAATTATGTCACTTCATTATTCGACGACGGCACCCTCAGCTGATCTGCGAGAAGACAATGAATTCAATATTGGTGAAGAAGATCGTGAGCGCTCATTGGCAGGTCAACGACGAATTAAACGTTTTAGTCAAGGCAGAGAAGATAGGTATTAGTACCCCCGAGCGGAATTTTGAGAAGCACCCCTAAAATTTTTTCGGAGTGCCCCCCCCCCCCCCGAGCGGAAATCCTGGGTACGCCACTGGTAGATACTAATAGAAAGGTTTTCTCTTTTTAGCCTATAGAATCAATAATTTGGTCTGGCTATATTTATAACGACTATTCATAACCACCAAGTTATCACACAACTTGTGTGGTATGTCTGAGCAATTTTATAGTGAAATGAAAACGATGTAACCAAAGAAGGTATTGACGTAGGTACTCAAACAACGACTCCACAGACCGAAGTTTAACCTCTTTCGAGGGAGGTTAAACTTCGGCTAACCTTACGACGGATTCGGCATATGGTGGACTAGGTGCGATGGATACACATATAGTGCGCGAATACATCCTGAGCGTTCGTATGGAGATGGAATTTGTCAAAGTTGGAGACATAGTTGAGATTGTTGAGCGTTCTTTCTCCTGACACTTTTAGAGCGAAAGAGCAAAAGAGAACGAGTGTCGATTTGTCAGGGTGATGCCAACGGTCCGGACACACCCCTGTTGGTGGGAACACCTATCAGGTGGCCTATGGGTGTCAACCGGACGCAGATCTTGTACGACTGTTGACGCACGGAGTCACTGCACTACCGGTGGCAATTCGTTCCGTACTACCACATTGGGTTAAGAACATGCACCGCAGCTAAATGGCTGGATGGCTTCTGCATGGAGAAGAGCTGTCAGCGTGTCGGCACCTAGCATTTCCAACATTCTGTATTGTTTACCAGAAAAGGCCGAGCATAACGTCTTCGAGGAAGAATGAAAATGCTCAGAAGTTAGCATGCGGAGAGATATATTGAAACTAGGAATGATGAGGTAACGCGGTGCACAAATGTACAATTAAGCCCAAACTATCGAAAGACGCAGTAAAGCTGAACAGTGATGAAATTGAATGGATTCGATTACCAGTCACGTCGGTTTTTAGAACTAGGGTTGAAAAACTGGAAAATGTTTAAAGGTGAAGTAAAAAAAAGAGTTCATATCAGCTCTCGTCCAGTGCACGAACTACAGGGTGTCCCAAAAGTGAGTACACACTTTTCAGTCGTCAATATCTCTCTTCCCAATGGGTCTTTTTCTGCCAGTCAAGTACCATTCTGTAGAGGAGGCTTCAACTAAGATTTACATTATCGAACGATTCACCGATCGCCCTTCGTTCTGTGGGATTACGGTAAGAACTTCCAGCATGTGGAACCATTGTGAAATATGCCAACTGACAAGATTTTTTTTTTCGAAAAATCTGAAAAATCGTGTACTAAGGTTTTCGCGCACGCTGATTTCACTACACAACTTTTTACGAGTGTTTTCAGCTTTTTTGACGGTGTAATCACATTTTTGACAAACACTGGAAATTCGGTTATTACGGTTTATCTAGGACTAGCTGGCTTACCCGGCTCCGCCCGGCGCCACATACACTTCGGTAAAAAAAGCCGAAGTTGTATTCCTCAAAAAGAGGAGTACAACTTCGGCTCAAATGGGCCTCATCGATTTGGAGGTCCCCACGCAGAGCCCTTACTGTATATTTCATTCAAATTGTTGGTCTTTCTCACACATTAGCAACACATTATTTATAGCTAACTTACCCGGCTCCGCCCGGCGCCACATACACTTCGGTAAAAAAGCCGAAGTTGTATTCCTCAAGAAGAGGAGTACAACTTCGGCTCAAATGGGCCTCATCGATTCAGAGGTCCCCACGCAGAGCCTCCACTGTACATTCAAACTTTCATTCATTTTCATTCAAACTGTTGGTCTTTCTCACACATTAGCAACACATCATTTATTAACATTTGCAAATTGCCAAGTTGTAGAAAAGTCTACTCAATCAACATCAATGGTCGTGTCAGTGTTTTCATCCTTGGTTGATTTCACTTTTTCATAAGAACTGCGACAGCCCGAGCGATTCGCTCGACGTCCTCCTCCGTCGTTGCGCTACCGAGGCTACTTTCCGACTGAGTTGCAGTAGACGAAGTGGGCTTTGCTGCCTTCGGTGCCCTCGGTGGAGCAGGCGAGTGGCTGGAAATCGAAAATTAGTTAGACAATCAATAGAAGTTCCAAAAAACTTACCGCCTCTTAGCGGGCGGCGTACGCGTCTCTTCAAGATGAACCTGCCGGCTTCCTAGTACTTTTGGCTTCTTCGGACGTCCGTCTCGTAGAATCTTGTAGACTCTATCTCGTTCAGGATTCTCACGAACCGCTACTACATTCCGTAATCAGCATGCTCAGTTACCCCACTCTGCCAACTCCCACTCCCGTAGCTTGGACTTTGCAAAAAAATCGATAAAATCGATAAAAATAATGGACGATTTCAAAAACTAATTTTGTATTCGTAATCAGCATGCTCGATTACCCCCCTGTGCAAACTCCCAGCCTCGCATGTCAAAATTTACAAAAAAATCGATAAAATCGATAAAAGTAATGCACGATTTTAAAAACTAATATTGTATTCGGAATCCCCATGCTCACTTACCCCCCTGTGCCGACTCCCAGCCCCGTAGGTGAACTCTGCAAAAAAATCGTTAAAAATCGATAAAATCGACATCGATCGATAACGAAAAGTGGACTGTGACACCCGCCGGGGCCCGAAGTATATGTGTGCCAAGTTTGGTCCGGATCGTTTCAGAAATGGAATTTTCTATTCGGAACATACGTACACACAGACAGACATACAGACAGACAGACAGACATACATACAAACAGACATTCAGCTTTATATATAAGATGACTTTGGAAAGAAGCATCACAGTGAAGTGTAAATTTCATATTCGCAATCAGCGGCTTCCATTACCATGATATAAGAGTTTTTGGCTTGTTTGGTTTTGTTCCAAATCAGAATATGGCATCCAATGGCTTAAAATCCTTGTCGAGATTTCTACAGTGATCCTACAGTAATGAAGAGCGATCGATAATTCGCTCAACACTGTAAACCATACTAAGTAACATTCTAGGTTTTACCTAATTGAGAGTTTGTCTACTTGTTAACATTGCAGCACTACCTTACGTACAAAGTAATTCAACTTTCAAGTATTATATGAAATAACCTCGTTTTTTGATGTTCTTGTTGTTCTACGAGCTGCAGACAAATCAAGCTTAGTATTCAAGATGCTTTAATCACTGCTCCAATTTGTGAAAACTTACATCGCCATTTCTGTGGCCGTATTCATCAACGAACCCCGAGGGTTAAACTAACCCTGGAGGGTTAGTTTAACCACGGAAAGCGTTTAACCCGTATTCATGAAACACAGGGTAGGCTTAACCCTGAGGGTTAAATCTAACCTTGAGGGTTATTACCCCGAAAGCGACTAACCCGTATTCATCAACGAACCGTGAGGGTTAAACTAACCCTGGAGGGTTAAACTTACGTGATTCATCAGGGTTAATTTAACCCTAGCTTAGAGCAAGGTTAACTCTACCCTAACACTTCATACAAACATTTACTCGCATCTAATAGTTTATGGAAAACGATCAACGAGTATTGTAGTATTTAGTATTGGTTGTTGTTATAGTATTTAGTTTCAACTTCGTTTTATGTTCATATTCGAAGTATATGAAACACTTCGCGAGAAAAAGAATTCTAGCTTTGGTGACAATTGAATGCGACGAGGAAAAATGGCATTCCACTCTGACAAGTGCCAAAACAGAAAAACCACTTGATGATAACACGCATTGACCCCTAAAAGAGTAGCACAGGAGCGGTATAAAACGAACTGCGCAAAAGCAGAACTTACACTGCACAATTGCACACATGAAAATAAACTCACGCTGTAAGATTGGATGCTGCACAAGTATGCTAGAGATGTATTATAAAAGCTAGTGTTAGAAGCTTATTCGTTGACTATACTACTATAACAGTGAAAGAATAGAAGTATAAAGTGAATTTAGCCCGTACTTAGGCATTCTGTGATGTGAGTTTGCACAGCGCACGCGTAACTGACGCCTTCACCCTCCAGGGTTAGTTTAACCCTCAGGGTTGATGAATACGGCCACAGGTTTGTTGATCGATACGGGTAGATCGCGTTTCGTGGTAAACCCTAGCCTATGGTTGATGAATATGGCCAATGAACCGTGAGGGTTAAACTAACCCTGGAGGGTAAGCTTAACCCTCAGGGTTCGTTGATGAATACGGCCACTGTAAGTTCTACAATGTAAATCACCAGGTCCGATCATAAGCAAGTTTCGATGTTGTACAGTTGCAAATTATGACTTCGCTATAAACGCCGTTTAGCTCCTTTGAAAAATCCATTCTTTTTTGACAACTTCTATGGATAGTTCTTCGAATCACCGTTCCACACACTATGCACGCCGCATTTTTTTTTCAAAGTAACAGGGCCCTCATCGTGTCAAATGCATCAAACGGAAAAATAAAGAAGGAAAATAATACACTTTATGAAAGCATGAGTTACAAATGAATAATGATGAAAAATTGAGCTAATTGATTACCGAATGCATATGTCAAGTAAGTGCAATTCTCACCTGTTAACGCCACAAAAAAAGAGGTCCACTCTTACTATTCGGCGTCCAGACTTTTCGCGCAAAAAAAGGTACACGCTCCCTCTTGCGGTTCAATTGATTTCTTTTCTGATATACCATATTGTACTTATGAGGTCTATGCAGACTTTGAAGTTAAAGAGAGTTGAAGATTCCGAGCTTTCTTGGGATTACGAAGCTCGGAGATGAAAGTATCTATAACGAGTAGTTCGCAGAATATCATCATTAGTAACATTTTAGCCCATCGGGAACTGTCACGGAAAGTTTTTTGACAATTTCTACGCTAGCATGTCTGATTCGTTCGCAGCTTTATTTTTTTGTAATACTGCTTACCGGTAAACAGTACTGGTTTATAGTTATTGAAGAATACTCAAAAAGGCTATTGGATTTGGGTTCTTTATTCCATTGGTTCTCGTACTGCGATAGCAGTATTAAGTATGCTTTGATAGCGAGAGTTCCGCGATTTGATAGCACCAACAGCTCAACAAAGCTATAGCTCGTTAAAGTAAACCTTTGCAGAAGACGCATTTGCACCGACTTCACCACCAGAGTGGAATGTACAGATGTGGGTATGTGAGTGCAGTCAAATTGTGTGTAGGCACAAGTTTAACTCATTTTAATAAACTATGCTCGCATGACCTTTGACGATATTGCGTACATCTCAGCATTTTGCACAACTTGGAGTGGTCACCTAAGTCTTTGGCTGGTGTTCAGCTGTTCAAGCAAAGGTTATAGTTTAATCCAAGCTCTGAGTGCAGAAAAGTGACTGGTATGCCGTGTGCTTGAATATTCTTTAGCTGCTGCCTTCTGTGTTTCTGTCGTGAAAATGCCCCCTTTCTCCTATGTACTCACTGAATCCAAACGGACGACGATCACGAAAATAATTTATTAAGAAACTTTTTGGAAAGAAATTAAAGAAACCCTGCTTTCATTTCTTGAAAAGCGATACAGAAGATAGCAATTTGATTTCAAAAGTAAACGTCTACTACACCACACAAACATCATCTCACTGTCTCTCAAATAGAAGAAGAAGAAGAGATTACCTAATTTCCGTTTCGTTCCTATCACTATACGGAGAAAATAGGTAGGAATACGATCTTCCCGGAAATCATTAGTAGTGAAGGAAGATCGTAAGCGTGAGAAAAGAAAAGAAAGGAAAAACAAAAGTAAACTAACATGAAACGGTATGAAACTTGAATATCCACCAATAGCTTGGTTTGTTATGAAGTTCTCAAACTTGGGTAATTAAACCAATTAAAAAACGTTGTAGTAAAACTTCCACGATTTGCTTTCCCGTTGACTTTTTGCAGCTGTTACGCCAACGAGGAAGAGACATTCGAAAGAGTGAAGAGGCTTACATGGAAGACAGTCTGGTTGGAACCTAACCAGTGCAGCAGTGCTTACATTTTGGCTGCCATGGAAATAGGTGTGATTTTCAACAGAAAGTCTTGCAAAGCAAGATTGAGTTAGAAAGCGAAGTTAGGAGATGCACAGCAAAGAGTGTAGCGTGGATTCACATCCAAATGCACCAAATACCCCTCGACTCGGCCAGTGACGAACAAGCGCTAAGGCTTCGTTCATACTGATCTGTAAGTTCGGGAACAGTTCCAGCACAGCGCTCTAATTGAGCGTTATGCTAAAACTGTTCCCGGATTTGGGGATCAGTATGAACGCAGCCTAACCATTGGCGTGCATAAACACGATCTTGAGGGAGGCGCGACTTTCGAAATCCAATTTTTTTGCAAATGGTAAAGGATCGACTACTGCCCACACGTGAGGTATGTTGAAATATCAAATTGATATAGAAATGGAGGGCGACAAGGAGCGCAAGTAGTCTGAAACAAACATTGACAAAAAGTGTGATTTTTTCTCCGAAAACTCCCTATTATTGAAAAAGAAGAAATGACTCGTTTGCAATGCACAGGCAACAATACGGTTGAACTTTGTTTGTATACGTGCAGTATGGCAAAGGAACAAACTGTGAAGTTATATGAGAAAATTATGTGATTGAAGAGCGTGCCCAAATTTTATTTCAAATCAGGGTAGCAATCGTCACCTTGCTGCCACCCTGAGGATGGCAAAACGTCCACATACAAAATATTTTCATAAATCTATAAATTAGTTTTGCACCCAATGTCGATCACATAGCAACAATTTTTTTTTGAAAAGACTTTCCTGTCCTCTTTCTAGAACCCGAAATGGCAACGATAGGAACGGGTTGGCGCGATTGGTGAGTAGTATCAAATGAAGGTGGCGAAGGAATTTCTTCATTGGATGTTCATTTGCCACCTGTCCGTTGTGCAAAGTACGACCGACAAGACACTTTAGCAACTGAAGGACTAGCTTGTAAAGCACATCAATCTGTACAGCACAAATTAGCAACTGATGGATAAGTAAGTACAGCAGTGACATGGACAAGAAATGACGGACCTCCATAACTTTGCCTTGAAATGTATTTGGTTGTATAAGGTTAATGTTCGTTTGCAGCTGGCAAACTACGTAGATCCACACTAGAAGAACTAGCTTCCTATCTATTTCTTTTACGATGTTTTGAAACCACCTCAATGACCATTGAGGAAAGGCATCAATTTGGCTTCAAAACTCTACAAAGGTTTAAAAAATAACAATTTTGACTATCCAAACTACGTCCGCTACCGACGCCAACGGTCGAAGGAGGTGATCACTGATTCAGAAAGCAACACATAGAACAAAGCTCACTTACTTGCCTGAGCTGGTGTATTTGCAGTTGGGCGTTCTTCGAGTGTTTCGCAAGTCCGCCCTGTCCATGCGCATACTAACCCCATAGACACCATAGATCTGCACTTTTGTAGATGTATCCTCATACACATAAAGGTCAACGATACAAAAGTTCAGGATAAGTGTGATTCACTCGTTTGCGCACTAATGAGGTTGAGTGCAGCATTGGCTCTTCTTAATCCGCGGCTATAAAATATTATATCACTAAAATCACAGTCCACCTACATAAAACATTTTATGTGTTGCCTAATCTTCTGGTTCTTGGACACAGCGAGACTTTTTCAGTCATAATGTCTGGTGTTACGTCATAGCAGTAGCGTGACTTTCTCTGAAATCTGAAAACTTATATCTGATCTTTACTTACTTTCACACAAATTTAAATTTCACATCTTCGAGCATGTCTCAAAGAAAGTTTATGGATATATTCGAAATATTCTTTCTAATTTCTGCCTCTTTTCTTAACCCAATTCCACCTTACTAGATACTTGGGGAACTATAAAGTTAGGAGAGACCCAATTCAAGTTTTTACTCATTTTTATACAAATTCAAACCTTCGTGCTTTGAGACCTGTCTCAAAAAAAGGTCTTGGTCGAAATTTTTTCATCTTACTCCGCCTCTTCCCTGCTTCATTTCTACCGTACTAGAAACTTAGGGAAGTAAGAAGTTAGAAAAGACTCAAATCCAGTTCTTTACTCATTTTCATACAAGTTCAAATCTTCGATCTCTGAAACCTGCCCCAAAAAACGTTTTGGTCGAGGTTTTTTATCTTATTCCCGCCTCATTCCTATTCCATTTCTACCGTACTAAAAACTTAGGGAACTAAAACTTAGAGAAAACTCAAATTCAATTTTTCATTCATCATTCAAATCTTCATCTTTCAAACCTGTCTCAAAAAGGTGGGACAAATTTTTTCATCTTGCTGCCCTTTTTCACTACACCTCTTGAAGGCAGTGTCTCGGCAGATTCGCGCCCTAGGGATATTGCTATGCTGGGGTTCCTGGTCATCCCACTGACCTTCAGGCGCAGTCCTGCTGGTTGATGTTCGCCCTAAGCCAAGAAAATATCCCTTGAACGGGCGCGCGCTCGGACGACATCGCCTACCGTTTGGCGCGGGACTCCACGACCGCTCTCCCGCATTGTGCATGCTATCCAAAGCAAAAATTACAGGCAGCAGGGCTTTGGTAACAGGACCTCCCAACTTTCCGTTTAAATTCTCGTCCGAGCTGCCTTTTGCAAATTGAGTAAACGCCCGAAAAAGGTCTTTTCACCCGTTTCAAAGCTCAAATTCGCGTCTACCGGTCGAAAAGGCTCAAACATGCAGAAAGATGAAAATGCAAAATCTGTCGGGACACTGCCTTCAAGTTCGCACATATAGGAAATAGGAGATGCACAGAATGGACACAGTCTCCTTAAAAAGTTTAACTCACATGCTTTCGACTAAATTTTCAGTTTTGTGCCCTTCTTAAAAGAAATTTAGAACAATATCATGAGTACTTGCCTTCATTTTAACATCAAGAAATAGAAATGAACTTTTCTTTTGCAGTATACTGTAATTCTATTTGGAATGAAGACGTTTTCAATACTTATTACCATTGCTTTTACGTTTCACAACACATTTTCTGCAGATGAGAAATATGACCAAATTCCTGCAGAAACGGAAGAAGAACTAATTCAGGTTTGTTTAACTCATAATCGCCTTTATCCCTAGCTGACAAGAAAGTATGTTATATTTAGATACTTCTCGAATCACATGTTTGTAATCATTTTTATGAGTATATCTGGCTTAGGTCCAAACTGTCAGACGACATAGGGGATTAAAGATCCAGTTCTACCGGTTAAGGTCATACCTCTATAGTTTTATTCTAGACATTAAATCGATCGGATATTGGCTTTGTTTACGAAAAGCTAGTACAAATACGGCAAAGAACGATGCAAGAACTGAAACAGCAAATAGATAATCCGAGGCAGCCACAACAACAAATACCAGAGAAATTTATAGTAAGCTTTACTGAATATTCAACTTACTGCTTTCTATATAACGCTTGCGGTAACTGGTTAGACCAGGAATGATATCCACGAAAGTCCATAATGGAGGAAAATGGACTTCCAAACCCCATTTTATTCGTTCGCGGTAGAAACTGGTTGGAATCTACTTTCGCTAGCGTTATCCAAAAATTTTTATCTCATCGCAACCACGAGGCAAAGCGGTGCGATGAAAATGATTCAACCCTACTTGAGCTCTCGCTTGCGAATGAGTCATGCGAAAAGTCCATTTAGAATGGGGCAAAATGGGATTTACCTCCATTTTAAATGGACTTGAAAGCTCATTTTACTCCCAGCAGCAAGGTGAGCTGGGACTAAGTCCATTTTTGACCTTTTTGCATATTTTTGATGGCGATTTTTTGAGGATGTGTTCCTTAGCCCATTCTAAGGTAGCAAGTGAATGGAAAAAGTTACGTCTTTTATGAAGTCTGAAATAAGTGTTTCTTTCTAAACTCATATTAACGCTATAAAAATCATAGAAGAAGGTTAAATTCACCAAAATAAACGCTGGCAAACTCAAATGCTTTCAAATATTAGATCGATGCGAAAATTCCTATGTAGATCAAATAAAGTTTGTTAACTTTTCAAATCATTAACCAAAACTAAATTCATGATCTGTATTTAAAAATGAAAAAGATTTGCGTTTCAATATAATTACTCAGAAGCTACATTTTGACCAATCTCGCAGAACCGAACCCCAAAAACGGCATTTCAAACGCGATTTTGAGTTTGGTCGCAAGAATTACTGAAGTGGCGCTAGCTAGCAAGAAAATTTCTGTGCAAAATTTCCTACTGGCAGTAGTCCATACATTCAACTACTTAGAGATATAAACATTAGTGCTGAGAGACAAAGAAGAGCTAAAGTAGAAAATTTGCGAAGCCATCTTTTGCAGATTCGTAGTGTTTCCGATTTAAAAAACCCTTTGAGCTGTAGTGTAATACAAGGTTTTTTGTAAGATAAGCATTTTGGTTCACAGGTTGTAGTGAAAGTTCAGCCAAAGTTTGCGTTCCGCAGAAAGCTCTAATACTAATTTGATTTAATGCAGATCCATAGAAGTCTCGAGAAGCGTAGGCCCGGATATTATATGAATTTTATTCTTGGAGGTAATTTAGAGCATAGTCATCAATAATAAATGGTATTTTGTGAGGTGTAACGAAATGGGAAAGAATAAAAAATCCACGTGATTGACATTGTAATATTAGGTCAGCCTAGTCAGAAATCAACCACTTGGTGGAAATGAGTTTGCAAGAGTGAGCAAACAGGTTGAGACAAGTCGAAGAAAGGGTTGCTGAAGAAGTTTTGTGTGGAATGAATGGATTCGCGAATGCGATATTTTATCGCACCGCATGGACTAAGTCCATTTTCTTCGCACGAAAAGCCCATTTCGCGGGGACTTTCGTGGATATCATTCCAGTAGTTCGAGTAGTCCATTAGTCTCATTTAGTTCTAGTCGTGTTTGAGTTGTGCGCTAGAATCTGATATTTTGCTTCAAGGTTTTTCGTCTAATTGCGAAATTTTATTTAGGCTCGCCAAAATCTGCTTCCTATAGGCGAAGATCCACCTATCCAGTCAATTTACGAAATAAATGAAAAATCGAATTTGAGCAAATACTTTTACCAAGGAGATATACTCCTTACAGCGTTAGTTACTTCTCAAACTGTATCTTACTTCAAAATAATACTTCATGTTTATGTCGCATAATTAAGGCCGCAGGCTGTGAGAATTGCTGAAAGGACAACTCCAATTCGTCGCAAACGGCAAGCATTTCGCGACGCATATTATCCAGATACCATATGGAACAACACCGTTTACTACTACTTTGATGATACAACCAGTACGTTCTCGATTGCTTCCATTGTCTTATAGATGGCAACTTTTTATAATTCAGCTGTTGCAATGATCAAAGCTTTTCGAGCTGCGGCAGCGTTTTGGGAAAACAATACTTGTCTTCGATTCGAAGAAAACGAAAAGAGTTAGTGACCATAATGCAGGTACCATAAGAGTTCATTCAAAAGAATTTAAGGTCCCGACAGGATTCGCGTTTTCAAGGGGGTAGGCTGCTGGTCCTACATAGGCCGTATAGGCGGTCGACAAGATCTGTGCTTGGGAGATGGATGCGAAACCGTAAGAAATTCGGTTCCACGGGTTCTAATCCTGATGACAGATGTCCACTTTCCAGGCTGGAATAGCTTCACATGAACTTGGCCATGCTCTAGGGTTCTTCCACACCCAGTCAAGACATGACCGAGATGAAAACATAAAAGTTATCATTGAAAACATAAAGGTAAGGCAAAATTAGTCATTCAAACCCATGTAGCAACCTGAGAGTATTACATTTTCGCTTTATTGAACGAGCGCCACATTTCTTGAGAAAGTATCATGAAGGATATTGATAGCATTCCATGCGGTTTTTCATGCTTTTTAACTTCTTTATTGCAGTTGCCTGTGTCAAGCTTTGAGTTCTAAACTTTTGTTCTAATTTCCCGAGGAAGCGCAAGTGACGGATAGATAGAAAAAATCCTGTAGGCTACAGACTCGACTTATGATATTTTTCATTAATGAGAAAAATTCTTGGTAGTCTTAAAACTCTCACCAAGTTTACGCTTGAAATCTCAAAAGAAGAGGATGTGCAAAAGCCAGCATCCTTTAAAGTTGATGAATATTTGATTACTTACTTGGAAACATGTTGCTTGCGTGATGTGTAAAACATGTATCTTATCCCCCTAAGTCTCTTAGCTCCCAGATATTTCCGCAAATTTATTAATTTATGAAATACAGGGAGTAATTGGAGGGGGAAGGAAAATTCCGTAAAATGATAGTATTAGGTTGGTGCAAAAGTAATGGCCGATTTGCGAATTTTCAATTTGACGTGCTATAACTTTTCGAAGAATTCACATTTCCGAATGCGGTAAAAACTATCAGAAGCAGCAAACCTTCTGCAATGCAGCGCACATTTATTTATACTCATATCACGAACGGGCAGAAAAATATGGATTGAAAAATAAAAAAGGTTCTTCTGCTAGAACCTTGTCTTTGACAATTCATATCTTCCTTCAAAGTTTGTTAGTATAAATGTTAAGTAGCCTATCTTGTAGCCGCAAGCTAGTAGTACAAAACGCAATAAAAAGAATTTGGACAGAAAAGTTTGCGGAAAAGAAAAAAAATTGAAATTTGAAATTTCTCACTTTTTTGAACATTTTTTCAGTGTGCCTCAAAGTCCCGAATACAGAATTTTTTGATTTTCTAGGTACTGAACAGCTGGATGTTTTTGCAAAAACTGCTAACAGGATGCCCTAGCCCTACGCTTACAGAATTGAGCAAAGCTCCGGCGATTGACTTCTTCAGAAGAAAATTATGGGTCATAAAATGACCGCAACAGCTACCCATGTTTAGGCGCCGATATCTTAGTCTGGATAGCCTCAAAGAACACAGTCAAGTATGCATAATGTAGACAATTTCTATTACATACAATAGCTAAATTTTCGAAGAAATGCCATTGATACGCGCTTGAATTCTGGCCGGAAAAGTGAAAGCAATGAAATTCTGAATTTGGATGCGGTTATTTGAAGCTTAGTAATTTTATAACAGATGAGGATGAGAGCACGTTTCAAGCACCGTTAGATAGAGCATGGAAACAGCTTCGCGATGGTATACTACATCCATTGTAAAGAAAAAGTATTGATGGAAAAAGGTTGCCCTGAAAAAAGGTTTGGAAAATCGGCCATTACTTTTGCACCAACCTAATAATTGAGATCTCTATATTAAGAATGTTGTTATATAGACAACACATCAATTCGTCTGACGAGCATTTTCAAAAATAATAATGGACTGATTGACGTTGATTGTTCAGCCTTATGTTACTTTTGATGCTAGTTTTCGTACTCATGCCATTTCAGCCTCAGTATGTGGACCAGTTTGATAAGGAAACTAAGGAGACCAATTACAACTACGATATGCCTTATGATTACGGAAGTATCATGCAGTATGGGCTGAAAAGGTACATGGTTCGAAAAATTGTCTAATATCTTTTTTTTGCTAATCATTCCGGAAGTTCTTTATATATAAATAACAAAAGATATTTTAGCGCATCAAAAAATGATGAACCTACTATGTTAGCATTAGATGCACTCTACACAGAAGCTATGGGATCTGACATAGTAGCCTTCTACGACATTTCAATGATCAATGAGCACTACGGCTGCAAAGGTTAGCAAATGCAAAATCAAATTCATACCTGCGCGTAAGTTAACCCTAGAAGCTGTCTAAAAGATACATATGTTGATTTGGTCTGATCAGCTACTACGAGGGCGTTCAGATTACAAATCAGTTTGAATCAATGTAGCTATAAAAATTCGGTTTATCGAACTGACGCAATTACTGGTTCTCAAATTGAAGCAAGACCAGAAATCTTGGCGGAACCAATGGCTTTTCAAACTCCACCTGTTTTCATGATATTTTTTGGCTTGCATGAAAGCAAAAAAAGATTTTGGAATTACTTGTATGAATTGACCATAAACTTAGGTATTATGTGTTTGTGACTGACGTAAAATTGTGCACGTCTCGTTAGTTTCGACAACTTTCGCAAGTTTGAGTTCGATTTGAGTTGGATCAATAATCTTCATATCTCATAAAAAGCAAAAAATGTTTTTTATAGTAGGTTCTAGCACAGACTAGGAGTTATAGAATATGTAGGTTGCGACGACTGTAACGAAAACAGTATTTCGATTTTCTCAGGCCTTTAGGCCATTCCTTCTACTCTACTTGCCACTTTGTGCCAAGCAGTAGACCAAAAAATGTAGTCTAATTCTCATAGAAAAGTACCAGAGTAAAGAATTATCTCGAAGAAACTGTGAAGATACATTCCCAAAAATTCAATGAGAAAAGCTCAAGAGCTGTCAGACAACAGGTGTAGCGTGAGACATACGCACAAATTTTATAATAAAGTAAATGTGCGATCAAAGAACAAGACAAAGGCTGTTTAATTTGGCATTTTACACTCCTAAAATTTAACGCATTATCTGGACGTTTTCGAAAATTAGGGCACTGTTTCAAAAAAGCTTACTGCCCAGATAGATGCGTAATTACATTCCGCACTATGCTAAAGCTACTTGTTTCATTAGCCTTTCTCGACAAAATGTTTTTTACCAACTGATAGCGATGCTTTCAGAGAAGTGTAAATCATCAGGCACAGAATGTCATAATGGAGGATTTCCTAATCCGAACAACTGCAATATTTGTATATGTCCAAGTGGTTACGGGGGCACGCTGTGCAACGAAAGGGTTGGTGCTTTGTCTCTACGTTGGCTTTTTTGTAGTTATTAGGTTGTTACATAAGTCTTGTTACACTTAACTTCTAACTGCGATAAGTCATACATTTCATAGTCTTTGCAGGACTCCAAGGTACCATTCGATAGAGCAAAGCAAGCTCTACAAGATGGTCTGCAAAAATTCGCACCAGCTCCGACCCACCGTAAGTTTGTACCCAAAATCTGAGTCGTACTGAAATTCAAAAAATCGCGAAAACATATCTTTGTTCAAACAAATCCTACGGATCTCCAACTTGCTCACAAAAATTGCCCACTACATCAAACACTCATATGGACCGTTGCTGTATTTTTTTCTTATCTAGAAATCGAGAAAAAGATTTTTTTTTTAGTTTTTACAAAAATGAAGCTATGCTGTTTCTTTTCATGTAGCTGTATACTACAAGCCCTTAGAAGAATAACCGTAAATTTTCAGCTTTTCAGAAGCTCTGGTTTTTGAAAAATACCAAATTTAGCTTTTATCACTCGGGTGTTCAATGATAATTTAGGTAATTTTCGAAAACTAGGGCTTTTGAAAAGCTGAAAATTTACGGTTATACTTCTAAGGGTTTGTAGTATACAGCTACATGAAAAGAAACAGCATAGCTTCATTTTTGTAAAAACTAAAAAAAATTCTTTTTCTCGATTTCTAGATAAGGAAAAAATACAGCAATGGTCCATATGAGTGTTTTATATAGTGGGCAATTTTTGTGAGCAAGTTGGAGATCCGTAGGATTTGTTTGAACAAAGATATGAATTTTTCGCGATTATTTGAATTTCAGTACGACTCAGATTTTGGGTGCAAACTTATGGTGGGTCGGAGCTGGCACAAACTTTTGCAGATCATCTTGTAGAACTTGCTTTGCTCTATCGAATGGTACCTTGGAGTCCTGCAAAGACTATGAGGTGTATGACTTATCGCCGTTAGAAGTTAAGTCTAACAAGACTTATGTAACAACCTAATATAAACGTGAATTTCTTTGTTTATATTCTTTGATAAGTACGGGGATTATATGATGTTAAACGAAAAGCCATGAAAAGTTTCTGGGAAGAGAAATTTGCGATTTATACAACATTGCCTTATAGCCTCCTGGATGCGGTGAAACTTTGATAGCTGGACCATCATACAGCCAAATGATCAGTGTCGTTGGTGATGGATCAAAACGAAAAAAACTCTATTTTTCTCAGTGTGCATATTGGATTGAGGTACTATCAACACTAATGCTCTATTCCTCATTCAATCGATGACAACATTTTATATAGGCTCCGGCGGATAAGCATGTCGAAGTCCGCTTTGATAACTACAGAGGTTATTACGGTGATGGATGCATCTACGGTGGTGTTGAAATAAAATCACACCCAGACCAACTGCGAACAGGCTATAGGTAGGAATATTTTTGCAACACTTCATTTGGAAGCTTTCTTTTATATATAGAAATTCCCATTAGCTATAATGTTTTAAGTAGCGCTTTCTACTGAAAGATTTCAACATCTTCTATAAGGCGTAAAAATGCATTCACTGTTTGATAGAGTGATCTGTCGCATCACATTATTTTGCAAAATTCTACTGAAAAATAGGACTGGCTCAAACTCAGGTTTGTAATAAAGCAAGCACGGACCATCTATCTAAATTGTATTGGGTCGTTTCAAATGTAATCTCCCTTTTTGCAAAGGGGCCCCACATGTGATGGAAGATTTCTGAGAGATCTTGGTAGCATTCGATGCAGCACATTTCATCTTCAGCTTTTTGAGATGGTCAAGTTTTACAAACTTCTATATCAACCGTCTGAACAAGTCCAAGTAGCAAATTTATAGAACAAACCCTAGAGGTACAAGACATTTTTTTTCTCTTCTTCACATAACTCGTCATATTTTTTTCGATAAATTTTCAGTTTATGCTATCAATTTCTATACTTGGTCAGATAAGACCTCGTAGAACAACAAAGGGAGAGCAGCAGGGACGCTAACCTATGCCTTTTTAATGAGCGATTTTTTTCGTGGAGTCTTTGGGAATGAAATCATCGTAATTCATGTTTTCGAATGCCCCAAAAATTTATTGGGGTTTGTGCCTGACGTAGGCCTGCTAAAATCCGGCGGTTTTGGTGAAAAAAGGTTAAAAAAATTAGGACGAGGTATGCAAAGGAGGAAAAAGCTGTGCTGCTTCCTGTAGAATTTGCTCTATCCAACTCTTACTTGAACTATTGCGGAGAGTTGATATAAAAATTCAGAAAAAAACATGTGAAAGTCGAAAAGTATGGATCACAGATCTTGGTAATTTCTCAAGAGCTCACTTATTGTTCTGCGATCTTTCTTCTATAGTATAAACCCGATCCCAAAAAACGAGACGGCGAGGATGGCCCGCCCACATGTATGCTTCAGCGGGTGTTTTGAATAGACGCCAGTTTCCGAACGGGGCCTTATTGGTAGAGACGCGACGGTGCAATCATGAGGTCAAGAGGACGCAGAGGTCCTAGCGCGAACGAGAGGCCACGACACGCAGGGTACGCTCTGCTGCTGCAATGGGTGTGTTGAAAGACGCAAGAGCGTGCCAAAGGTGTTGAAATTGCGAGCTGGTCATTGTTGCAAAGTTAGTTATAGAAGTATACTATTTGATCCGCTCTCCGATCTCAGTACTCACTTTGCTTCCACTTTTCCGCCAAATCTTGAGAAAATCTTCGAAAATCTCGCTTTTGGGTGCTTTTGCTCTAGATGGATTCGATTTTTCTCTCCAGATTGTAAGCGTGAGTGCGAGAGTGACGTTGCAAAAGGAAGCTGTACAGCGATGACTGGGGCAAAACAAAATTTCGGCACGATATGATACCTTTTCCGCCAAATTTTGAGAAAATCTTCGATCTCGCTTTTGGGTGCTTTGCTCTGGGTGGATTCGATTATTCTCTCCAGATTGTAAGGTGAGTGCGAGAGTGACTAGGGCAAAACAAAGGCCCGTAGTAAACCCCCATCAGGGCATCTCTCTCGGACTGGAGTTGATCTCATCTCATCATGGTTTTCTTCCCGTTTGCAATATCAGTGCGGGCAGGTGCGCGTTAAATTGCGAAAGGATTGCTGTTTCTAACGACCTTAACTGCATTCAAAAATATGAAAATTGAACGAAGTTATAACCTTCCAAATTGAAAATTCGCAAAAATGGACATTATTTTTGCAACAACCTAATATACTGATAAATTGAAAATTCACTTGAGAAAATTATAGGTATGAAACACGTTTATTTATGGGTGTGCCCTACCCGCTTGCTAGCGACTCGTAGGGTCGCTAGTATATATATGATCGTTGAAAAGAGGATGAAATGCTATATCGAACGCTACCAAACCCTCTCAGAAATCCTTATTCAATCATGTGGCTCCCCCTTTGAAGAAAGCGAAATTCCTTTTGGAGATCTAATATTTTCTTCGTTGCTAAGAATTAAGATTGAATCTGCTGCACATGAACGCTATACTAAACTAATAGCTACCTATTCAGAAATTCCAGATGCCTTGAAAACGCTGGAACGCTTTATGCACACCAATTATAATAATGAATTTTGCATAGCTTTCTAGGGTTTCACATCGTTCGGATGCTATCGTCCAGTTTTTGATGGTAATCAGAAAAAAGCTTTACATCGTATCTTCTACACCTTTAAAGCAGCGCCCACATAGATTTTTGTCTTTCATGATTGTCGTAATCGTTGCAATGACGTGTGTTACTCTTTTGATGAGCTAACAATCCGTTTTGATTCTTATAATTCCAGATTCTGCTCTCCCTCTAACGAGGGTACAGTTCTTGTTTCACCTTCAAATCGGTTACCCGTTATCACATTCAATCGTTACTACAGATCTCATATAACTCTTAGTTATCGTTATGGTATGTCTTGCTTTATGTAGTGGAAAAAATTCTTTGTATGCCTATCTTCAGTTGATGAAGTTCCTGCAACAGATCCTGCGACCACTCAATCGGTAACTTGTTGGCAGACTTTAATTTTAACTATACGGTAATGTCTTCAGGCTGACGAGAAGACGGCACCTCCAGACATTACGACTCCTTCACCCAATATCGAAGACCCTTCAGCCACCACGGAATCGGTAGGAGAGGTTTGAAATCTTCTACAAGTGATCCTCCCGATTCGCTTCCAGATTAATCAAGAGACGGATGTGTTACCTCCGAACCTCACAACTCCTTCACCTGAAATCGAGGACCCCTCAGCTACCACGGAACTGGTAAAAAATGTTTGGAAATTCTCCCAACTGAATTTCATTCCAACTGATTTTCAGATTAATCAAGAGACGGACGTAGTACCTCCAGACATTGCAACTCCTTCACCTATTATCGAAGACCCTTCAGCCACCACGGAATCGGTAAAAATTGTATATCTTTCTGTAATGCTTTTCATTTCTCCTATCATGTCTCTCATTGTCAACCGTTTCTCAGTCTGAACAGGGGACGGACGTAGCAATCATAGACACTGCTCCTCCATCTGACCCTGAAGATCCTCCGGCTACTATGTTACCAGTGAGAATGTGTAGACTTTGATTTGAATAACTCTTACTGTTATATCTTTTTAGACTGAACAGGCGACTGACGTGGCACCTGCGGACGTGACAACATTTCCACCAAATACGGAAGACCCTTCAGCTATAACAGAAGTGGTAACAGATGCGCATAGATTTGGTGAAGTTCTCTGAAAATCAAACTCTACGCATTTTCAGGATGACCAAGAAGAGTACGTGGAACCTACAGAAAACACACGTCCAGAACCTTTTGGCGTTGGTAACCTTATGACGTCTGCAAAGCCGGTGAGCATACGCTTAAATTTCTTTTTAGTTTCATCTTTGATCAGTTCCAGATTGATTCCTTAATGACAACTCCATTGTCTCCTAGCGCTGCCGAACTCCCAACTACTACGGGACCGTCAGTATGCATAGATCTATCCCCAGAGTGAGTTTCTATCTCTTTTTTTTCAAAAAAAGAATTAATCCATGTTTTTTTGCAGTTGCAGCATTCTCGCATCACACGGGTACTGTCGCTTTCCAAGTATACGTATGCGATGTTTAAAATCTTGTAAAGTATGTTAATATAATATGATAGTATAAAGTGCGTAATATGTAATATGTATACAATAACAGGTATATAGATAGATGTATAAGTGTATCTTATAAATAAAGCTGAATGTCTGTTTGTAGGTTTGTCTCTTTGTACGTATGTTTCTAGCCGGAGTTTTTATTTCTGAATCAATCCGGACCAAACTTGGCACACATACATACACATACACCTTGGGTGGGTGCCCCAGGCTACCTTTCATCATCAATCAATATCGATTTTGTCGATTTTTTTGCGAAGTTGGAGCTAGGGGCTGGGAGTTGGCCTGGGAGAGGGGGGGGGGGGTAAGTAAGCATACTGATTACGAATATATCATTGGCAGGGTCGAGCGGAGCCGGGTTTGTCAGCTAGTAATATTATAAATGTCTACGATAAAAGATTCCTAGTGGTGTTTTGTGGAGCTAACGTGGAGCGGCTCTGACTCAACAGTCGAAGGGATACCTTCGGAGGGCAACGGGGGGGGGGGTCTGCCACCTCGTGCTCCGGGACCCTCCCATTTCACCCATTTTGGTGCTCCGGGGCTCTTCCAAATCTAGCGCACCCCGGAGCACCGTCACGTCACAGAAAGGAGAATGAGACGTCTCCCCGGGACTCGCAAAGCTCTGCTCCGGGAGTGCGCCAGATTTGGAGGAGCCCCGGAGCACCAAAATGGGTGAAATGGGAGGGCCCCGGAGCACGAGTGGCAAACCCCCGCTGGGCAGAGCCCGGGACCCTCCCATTTTTGCTCCGGAGGTGTTCCTTCGACTGTCAAAAGTACCATGTAATTGGATTTAATACATTATCAATCGCCTTAAAAATATAATAAGTATGTTATGCAAGTATGTGCGATGAAAATTGTTTGTCAAACAAGAGACCTCAAAAATGGAAAAAATAAGATTCTATCTTTAACACTTTTCGGATCGGTGCTGCACATGTTGCCGCACGCGCTTTGGAAAGTCTTTTTAAGGTCTCGAGTCGAAGGCCTGAGCTCCTCCTTTTCAAAGGCGTCTGTAGAGCTGTGCCGCCGATTTGTTGAGGAGATATGAGCACAAACAAACAGTCGCAACGAAGTGCGGCAACGCGATCGACGCGTGCGACTTCGCAACTTTTCGTTGCTAGTTTCGAAGAGAAAAACCATAGTTTTAATAAAGTGTACTGTGTACCACATAAAACATAGATACTTTTGGATATTATTGAAAACTGAGTTTTTGTTCCTGTCTTCTAAGAAAGCGCAATAGTCCTTTTCAAACGACAAAATTCAAACACTTTGAATTCACTCAGCACTTTAAATATGGAGTTTTTTTATGTGCTGATTGCAGAGTAGCATACAGTCCACAAATTAAGGTCCATTTGTTGGCTAACGGCTAAAAGTACACTCTTCTTCACCGCGCGCGATTTCGCGGTCCGCGTGTTAATATCAAATGTCTAACGATATCTCTTTTGTCTGACACTAAAATTATAATAATAATCGCTGTGTACCAAAGTCATTTAACCATTTGAAACTGTTTTCTTTTTTGACTATTTCTATCAAAGTCCCCATTTTTTTCCACAACTTCCTCACAATCAACACCTGAGTTTTCACTTAAGCTCCAGAAATTCTGCTAAACCATAAACAAGCTTTTCAAGATCCTAGTGACATGTGCAAATCAAAGGTAAAGCTTTGATATTGAGTCAATTTCCGTTTCATTCATTTGAGGAGGTAAGCAAAATTATCAACTCGCATATGCAAGGGGTGTGGATGGGTGTACATATGTTTGAGTATTAATTGAGCGCAAATATGCCACCTTTGCCGATAAACATAAAGGTCCCGACATTGTTTAACAGTTTTTCACAAGTAAGGAAGTTAAGCCAATGAGATAGAAACCCACTTGTTCAACTGTTCATTCAGCTACTATACAGGGTGTCCCAAAAGTATGTATCGAACGTTTGATCGTTAATATCTCTCTTCCCAAGAAGTCTTTTGCCTGCTTCAAGTACCATTTTGTAGAGCTGGCTTCAACTTAGATTTGCATTAAAGAACGAATCACTCATCTCTCTTCATTACTGTAGGATTACGGTAGAAACTTGAAACATATGGTGTCAATGTGGAAAAGCTGCAGTTCCAAAATTCTTCAAAAAATTGTGAAAACTTGTGTAATAGGGTTTTTATGGATGCTGAGTTCAATACTCAACTATTCACAAGATTACAAAGCTTTCTAAACGGTGTAATCGCACTTTTTAGGAACATTGAAAAAATGGCCGCTACCTCTTACCTGGCATAACTCCTCAATGAAGCATCATAATAAGTTGGGAACTTTACAGTTATAATCAGCAACTCTAATTAGCCTAGTGTGAAAACTTTCAGGCTGTTTTATTTCCTTTCTAAGGCAAAATATGGCCTTTCATTGCTTAAAACCCTCTTTGAAGTTTCTACCGTAATCCTACAGTAATGAAGAGGAATGAGTGATTCGTTCTATAATGCAAATCTAAGTTGAAGCTAGCTCTACAAAATGGTACTTGAAGCAAGGCAAAAGACTTCTTGGGAAGAGAGATATTAACGATCAAACGTTCGATACATACTTTTGGGACACCCTGAAGTATACGTTAACACAGTATTAGACATATGACGTTATCAAAGCAGAGGCAGCGCAGCATCCAAGCCCCACCCAGCACCCATCAGTCCCATTGATACAGATAGTGCATTGCTGGTTTAAGCTTGCAGACTGCAATGCATTATTTTTGTTCAAGGTATATGCTATTCACGGGATATCCGCATAACGCTTTCCGAAACGTTTTTTTTACAATGAAGAACGCCGAAAAGGCAAAGGGGTGATTGCTATATTCTTCTTCATGACGATCTGTTATTTATTTTCGTACAAACACAAAACCTTTCCATATATTTGTCCAGGTTCGCTCTCAAAAAATTTTTATTGGGTGGAGCTCGCAAAATTTGCTCCCAAAGAACAACGCGCAAACATATCTTCTTCACTGGCTTCGATCACTTCCATTATGCTTGCCTCCTCTTGCAACCACTTCTTTAGTAATAATTCTCGTTTCTGAGACTCAAGTATTGGACTGTAGTAAAAAAAATTTGTTATCGTGTTATTCTTCAGTTTTGTTATCGTACAAGAGGGTAACGGAGATGAAGCGGAAGGGACGAATGGCGGGCCGGTAGTCACGACTCTTGTGAAGTAAGACGAAGTTGTGGCCCGCAAATTTATTAAATTTTTTGAAATTCTTCATGACTAAATGGCAAGAGAAATTCCTTTCTTCATTCTAGGGTTAAGCAACGGCCTAAGTACGAAAAAAAACTGATAAGCAGTAGTAAGAGATTCTAAGGAAGTCAATGGAGACTTTGTGAGAATTTACGAGATCAAAGGGAACCTCGCATCGATAGCCTTCGTTTACAACAGGTGCCAAGCCTTGAGTGTAATGAGTGCCTTAGAAATTTGTGGTACAAGAATATATTTTTACTAGCTGGCTTACCCGGCTCCGCCGTATCCGGACCAAACTTGGCACACATACACTTCGGGCCCCGGCGGGTGTCACAGTCCACTTTTCGTTATCGATCGATGTCGATTTTACCGATTTTTATCGATTTTTTGGCAGAGTTCACCTTCAGGGCTAGGAGTTGGCACAGGGGGGAAGTGAGCATGGGGATTCCGAATACAATATTAGTTTTCAGAATTATCGATTGCTTTTATTGATTTTATCGATTTTTTGGCAGAGTTCACCTACAGGGCTAGGAGTTGGCACAGGGGGGAAGTGAGCATGGGGATTCCGAATACAATATTAGTTTTCAGGATCGTCCATTACTTTTATCGATTTTATCGATCTTTTTGCAAAGTTTGACCTGCGGGGCTGGGAGTTTGCACAGAGGGTAATCGAGCATGCAGATTACGAATACAATATTAGTTTTCAAGATCGTCCATTACTTTTATCGATTTTATCGATTTTTTGAAAATTTGAGCTAGGGGGCTGGAATTTGGCACAGGGGTGTTCGAGCATGCTGATCACCCCCCTTTGGGGATGATCAGCATGCTCGATTACCCCCCTGTGCCAACTCCCAGCCCCCTAGCTCAAACTTTGCAAAAAAATCGATAAAATCGATAAAAGTAATCGATAATCCTGAAAACCAATATTGTATTCGGAATCCCCATGCTCGATTACCCCCCCTGTGCGAACTCCCAGCCCCGTAGCTCAAACTTTGCAAAAAAATCGATAAAATCGATAAAAGTAATCGATAATCCTGAAAACCAATATTGTATTCGGAATCCCCATGCTCGATTACCCCCCTGTGCCAACTCCCAGCCCCGTAGCTCAAACTTTGCAAAAAAATCGATAAAATCGATAAAAGTAATCGATAATCCTGAAAACCAATATTGTATTCGGAATCCCCATGCTCGATTACCCCCCTGTGCCAACTCCCAGCCCCGTAGGTGAACTCAGCAAAAAAATCGATAAAAATCGATAAAATCGATATCGATCGATGACGAAAAGTAGCCTATGACACCCGCCGGGGCCCGTAGTGTATGTGTGCCAAGTTTGGTCCGGATCGGTTCAGAAATGGAATTTTCTATTCGGAACATACGTACACACAGACAGACATACAGACAGACATACAGACAGACAGACAAACAGACATTCAGCTTTATATATAAGATTCAACTTTCCAATCTTGTGGTCAAATCATACTGAGAAGAAGACGTCTCAAGCGTAAGCGGGCAACTGTGAGCCCCTCGGATTTGCTGGATGAGCTCAAGCACCTACAATTGGTTGCCCTGAATCCCGCATTACGAGACTTTTCCAGTGACGGAGAAAACCTGAAGGGAGGCTCTATGTGGCACTCAGATAATCGCCGGGGGCAGGCGGTCCGCAAACTCGCGCTTTTCTGCAAGCGGTCAACACAATTTTGGGGCGTGGCCAACCTTCAGCTGTCGGCACTTCCTTTACAGTCGCATATTCTGCCAGCGGGCACTCAGATAATCGCCGGGGGCAGGCGGTCCGCAAACTCGCG